GCAAAAGTAGAAAGAAGGAGTCCAGCCAGAAGGCCATTACAGTATTCTAGCAAAGCTTTGACTGTGGCTTAGATTAGGGTAATATAGCAGTGGAGATGGTGGGAAATGGTTCAATTTAAGACATGTTATTTGGAAAACCCATCAAGATTTGCTGATTAATTAGATTTTCAGGGTACTATAGAAAGGGAGGAATCAAGGATGACTTCTACACTTTTTGGTCCAAGCACCTAGGTTTACTAGGTGGTAACATTAACTGATAGGGAATAACTGGAGGAAAGAAGAGGTTTGGAGGGAGTAGTAAAATTAAGAGTGCTACTTTAGGCCAGGGATGGTGGCTCACATTTGTAATCCTAACTCTCTGGGAGACTGAGGCAGGAGGATTGAGGTCAGGAGTTAGAGACCAGCCTGAGCAAGGGTGAGACCCTGTCTTTACCAAAAATAGGAAAATTTGCTAGCGATGGTGGTGCACACCTAATAGTCCCAGCTACTCAGAAGGCTGAGGCAGGAGCATCACTTGAGCCCAGGAGTTTGAAGTTGCTGTGAGCTAGGCTGAGGCCTTGGCCCTCTAGTGCTAGCAACAAAGCAAAGACTCTGTGTGGGAGGTAGATAGGTTGGCTTCTCAGCTGGGCACCCCACTTCATTCCTGGGGTACTCAGGGGAAAGCACACAGATGTGTGATCCCTGGGGGCTCATCAAAAGCACAAGATGAAAAAGGCCCAGAGGTGTGGACAGAATGAACTACCCCTGTGCACCAAAGTTAACAGGTGATAGGGGTTAAACTTTTTGAACTTCTAATATGTAGTTAGATTAGGAAACCTGGCTTACTTCCCCTGCAAGGATAGAACTAGTTTTTCCATCCCCCTTTCTAAATAGGCCACGGCAGTCTGTTAGCAGCTCCCTACCTTTTACCCAGACTCTCATCCAGTGTTCCTGAGGACTTTGGATTCTTTCAACCCTATCTCTTGGCATTTTTGCATTTTGCATGTGCACCTTTGTTAGAAATCAATAAAAGCATTCCAGAGAGGCCAGAGAGGGGCTGCATTTTCTCCTTCCTACTGCTTGGCCTGAGATAATGTAAGCCTTCTCCAGGTATTCTCAGACTTTGTTTTAAGCTCAGGTTTCCCAGTTGGCTTTCAAACCAGGTCAGGGTTTGCGCACCAGAACCCCTAACAACTCTGTCTCCCCCCAAAAAAAGAGTTCTATTTTAGACTTACTGAGACTTACTGAGAGTGAGATCTCTAAGACATCAACGTAGAGTTATAGAACAAGGCTACTGGACATATAAGCGTGAAACTGAGGGCAGAGGTTTGGACCAGAGCTATAAATTGACAGTCATCATTTGATAGGAAGAGAGTAGGGACTAAGAATAAACAAGAACCAATGACTAAGTACTGAGAGTACTGTACATTTAGAGATTAGAATTTTTTACCCCCCTGTTATTTTCTTTGCAAACACCCCAAGTCATGCTTAATTTGAGGAGAGCCTCAAATTATTTTTATTCGCCTTCTCTTTCCTCTTTCACAGTTTTATGACCCCAACCATCTTACCAAGAGATGGTATAGTAGAACTGAGTAAAGAAATGTCTAAAGATATTAATATGATGATCAGTAATGAAGACTTGGACACAGAGTAGTTGAGTTTAAATCCTGGCTCTGCTGCTTACTAACTTTGAATAGTCTACTTATTTTTCTAAGCCTCAATCTTTTCATCTATAATTATAATAATAACAGTTTTATCTAACACATACTATGTGCTAGGCAGTGTTTTAAATCCTTTTGTGTATTAACCTTAGAACAACCCATCGAGGTAGTTTTTATTTTTATTCTACTTTATGTTGAGGAAACTAAATGTTTCAACCTTTTTTATCTCATGGCACACTTGAACCTATAGTCCTATAGTTAAACTTCTGTGGCACACTTAAATTATGTTGAACCAAAAAAAAAAGATTAAAAAAAAGGAATATACTCATTGTGCTTTAAAGTTGTTTCAAAAATAATTTAATTAATGATCTTGAACATTTTTCATAGTACACCAGTTGAAAATCACTGAGCTAGAGAGAGGTTTTGTAATTTGCCAAAAATTATACACCTAAGAAGTGGCAGCTCTCAATTTGATCCAGGCTGTCTGGCTCCAGAAAGTGCCACTTTCCCAGTATGTAATTCAGACTTGTTGTAGTGATTAAATGAGATAATCTATTTAATATGCTTAGAACATGAAGCCTAGCATATAATGTGCTCGTAATAAGTGTTAACTTTGGGAGACAGTATAGTGTCACAAAAGACAATCAGATAAGAAGTCCTGGAGTATCAGCCTGACTGTACAAGATTAGCTTGTGTGAGTATGAACAAATTTCTTAGCCTCTCTAGACTTCAATTTTGTCATCTGCAATTTAAAATCTCTGGACTAATTAGCTCTGAGATCCCTTTTAATGTTAAAATTCTATGCTGTGATTCCTCAAGAATATTGGGAATTATGAATGTACCCGAATTTGAAGAGGGAAGAGTTTCACATCACCTTGGGGGCTGGGAAATAAGAGAGCTTAGCAATTTCTTGGGTTCTTAACATTCTGCTTTACTTCTCTACTCTTGAAGAAGCTTGCTAGGAGGTAGTAAAATAGTATGAACTGTGGCATATGAGCATAGTATATTGAAATCTGTCACCGGCACTTATAAGTGTGACCCTGGACAAGCTACTTCTGAGTTTCCATTTCATCACTATGATATTTCAAATATTTAAAAAAGCATCCGATATATATTACCTGTTAATATACTAATACCAAAGATTCCCAGAGCTGAGAGGACTTTTTTAGTCCTTAAGTTCCAGATGAGACAGACAACACTTAGTAAGCCCTTCCTTAAAAATGACTAGGCATTAGTCTTTAGGAACTAAAGACATGTAGTCATGCCTCCCTATTCCTTTCTTTTACCAAAGTATAGCGATAACTTCTCTAGAACAGGTGTGCTTTGATTTACCTTATTCGTAGATGTACTGAACTATTTGTGCCCTGGGTTTGCTTTGCTCTAGCCCTTCCTTGACCTAAGGAAAGTTGTTTCTCCATACATACCAGGCCTGAATTTCTGGAGAGATTTGATTTTCTTTTTCAGCCACAGTCAGAGGAACAGTAGCAGTCAAAAACCCAGCTCAAACCAAATTAGAGAGAAGGAAAAGGACGAGGCATGATTACTGACTTGTAAAACCAAGAAGTCCAAGGATTTATCTGGTGTTGAGTGTGAGTGAATACAGGGCTTTAAACCTTACCATGTCACTCCATCCCTGCTATCTGTACCTTGGCTTTATTCTCAGCTATGATCTCCATGTCGTGGTGCCCAGTCTACAAACATTCTTATAGCTGTGCTCTCAGAGGAAGAAAGACTCCCTCCTCCAATATCAGTATCATATTAGAAAACAATTGACCCAACTTGCGACATACGTACATATACTCTCTTAGTCTAGGATAATCCAGTGCTTTTAAATGGCATTATTTTTCACCCCATGGCCTGGGAGACAGGGCCATGTGATTGACGTCCCCATCAAATCACATAGAGTTGGATGTTTCTTTCTCCTAACAGGGGAAGAAAGCTAGGCAAGCAAAAACTAAATGGTGGCATTCTTAGATTAAATGACGGGAATATCCACATTGCTATCACCCTTGTTGATATGGATAAGCGATCCCAACAAATCTCTTGACCTTGGGAAGGTTGGCTTACCTTAGGAAGCTTTAGGACTAAAAGTTTAAATAGTATAGAGTGGTAACTTTTTTTACTTCCATTTTCTTCTCTGTTCTCACCTCCTTGAATTTAATTATTAATTGATACTTTATTCCAAAAACTGATTCGTCCTTTTTCTATTTACAGACAGTTTAAAAGTATGAGTTTAGAAGTCCCACTGCCTAGGTTTCAATCCTGTCTTTGTCATTTACTTACTTAAAAATCTCAAGCAATTTGCTAAACTTAGTACCTCTTTTCTCATCTATAAAATGAAGATAACAATATCTGCCTTCTAGGGCTATCTTAAGTATTTAAATTCAGTAAGTTGAAAGGGATTGGCACAGTACCTAGTGCTTGCTGACGTACTATCAGATAGTGTTATTGTTATTTCTAGCTCCACAGCTGTGGGGCAGCCTGTCTATTCTTTTGTCTAGAATGGGAAGTCTAAGGTAGGTTGAAAGACTATCAAAGCACTAAGTTTTGGTATCTCAGGATGGAGAACTTAAGCCAGATTGAAAGAAGCATTTGGTGCTCTAATTGGAAAACCTAATTATAATAATGATCTTATTTTTACAATTCACTAAATGGTACATTCTTACTGAGTTTTACTTGATGGACAGCAGTGTGATAATTAACCTCTTTAGGCTTTTTACTCTTTTTTAAAATGAATATTTTTGGATAAGATAATCTCCAATGTCAGCATTTCGTGATCCTTAGTTAAGTAAGCAGTGAATATCAAGAAGTATTTTGTACTTGGTATGTGTATGTGCACGTGTATGAGTGTATATGAGAGACAGAAAAAGAGAACAAAATAGAGAAATAATGAGTTAATTTATATTTATATAAACCAAAATGATCTTCTTGTACATTGATTTTATCAGCTGATATGTTTGAGATTATATCCTCTTTCACACTCTTCTGTCTAGATCATTTCTAATTATTTGTTAATCCTATAAATCATCTTTCTTGGATTTTTCAAGGAAAGTTTTCTAAGAATTATGATGTATAATCTGTTATACTTGTCTTGGAGTCCGGAAACCTGGTTGGGGAACTTTGTTCCACTACTTAACTTTGCAGCATTGCCTTGGACAAGTTGTATTCCCTCTTAAGTGCCTCATTTTCCTCATCTATTTAATGAGGCATTTTCTCTATTTAACCCTTAAATCCTTTCCTAAAAGTCTGTGATTCTGTGACTATCACAGCATGGGAGTAGCTCGTTTCCAGAGGGAGAATTTAAGTCACCATTCCTTTTGAAATATATTTTTAATCTGTTGTCCATTATATTTGCTGCAGGATTCCGGCTGAATGCCTCCTCTTGGCCCATGTTCCTTTTGAAGACTCTAAATGGAGCAGAGATGGCTCCTATCAGGATCTTCCACAAGGTATGCTATCCTTCATATATCACTAACTCCCAGCTACTTAAAGTCAAGTATTTAAATTCCTCTAATTACTGAGCCTTTGATGTCTACATTATATTTATGGCCTGAGGATGCCTTCTCAGAAAGTATATGGATTGGATTTTGTTAGTACTTTATGAAGCAGCAATTATCCCCAGAGGAAATCATTAGACTGTAAAGTAGGATGTCTGGTTTAGTGTCCTAGCTGCCAATAATCTATGTCCCTTTGACCTCACCTATAAAGTGGGACTCTACCTCACAGGGTTAAGAAGTTAAAATTTGTTATTTGTAGAATATATAAAGTATTAATATAAATCTAAAGAAGCTATTCTTATTGTAGATCTTGGATTTTTGTAGAGTCCATGTTCTAAACAGAGAGAAAGGAAGGATATTATTTTTTGAGTACCTACAGTATGTTTGGAACTTTATATATACTGTGTCTTATAATACCCACAGCTAACTTTATGAACTAAGAATTATTATTTCTATTTAATAGTTAAGGAAACAGATACTTTTGATTGAGGAACTTGCTCAAGATCACATAGCTAGTAAGTGACAGAACAGGGATCCAAAGCCTGAATTTGTTCTTCTTATCTCTCAAAAGGCGAGGCAGTCAGTCTGCTGTCAGTTGAGTTCTCTAATAGGGTGTAAGTTACTGCAAAGGGGACTGAAGTAGGTTTACCTATGCTGCTAGCTAAGTCTAAACCCTGAGAGCATATCAAAATATAGTGTATTAGGCAACTTAAACCTTTTCACTACAAAGTACCAAGGGGAAGAAACCAACAAATAAACTCTTTTCAGTGCTTTGCTGTGCTTACATAGCAGAAAATAACAATCTCAAGAGGACAAAAATGAAGAAGGAAAAACAAGAGTGTTAAATGTATGTGATGAACCTGTAGCTGCATTAAGGGACTTCACCAATCTTACTTCCCCCAAATTATATCTTTTTATAGCCACTGTAAGACACATGAGGCCTTGGGCAGCCCATGCAAGTCAGGGGAATGGACTTGAGATTGCTGTAGAAGAACCAGATCAGATTCCTCAAATGTTCACCTCTTAGTGAAAAATTATTACATTGATAAGAAAGAAAGAGTCTCTGCTGGGGTCTGGGCAGGAGTAGAAATGGAGTCATCTTCTCTGGTAAAATATTGCCTTCTTTCTTATCGTTCAGTATGATTCTTGTGTTTTTACCATATCAACAGAATCAACAACGCACCAGAATCATACTGAACTATAAGAAATTCCCAAAAGTGAAGTACCACTGAAGATGAATACTTTAGTCCAGAATTAAAAAGCCCTAAAACACTTTCAAACAAATCTGACTTAATGGGGAGTGAGTAGACGCAAAAAACAGAAATATAACCCTAAGGTGTTTCAGATAATGAAAATTTCAGGTAGAGATTATAAATTAAGTATTTGAAAATGACTGAGGAACTAAAAGAAGGAATAAAAAAGTAGAATAGTACAAAATACTATTTTTTTAAATGCAAATTTGAGGAAAGACCAAACAAACATCCAAAAATGAAATGTCTATAAATTTCAAACTACTCAATTAAAAATTAATAGTTAAACGTACATGTTAGCTTAGACCTAAAGAAGAATTAACTAAAATATGTATAAAGAATTCCTTGAGATTATATCACAAGAGAGATTAAAAGATAGATTATGTTAAAAGTAAGAAACAAGAAAAATTACATTAAGAGGACCATTATATACTGAACATAAAATCCAGAAAGATTTATTAGAAAGAATAAAAGTGACAACATTTAAAAAGATAATTAAGAATTTTCCAGAATATATAATAAAAACAAATGCATACTTGGCTCAGTGCCTGTAGCTCAGGGCTAGGGTGCTGGCCATATACACCAGGGCTGGTGGGTTCGAATCCAGCCCTATCCTGCCAAACAACGACAACTACAACAACAACGACAACAACAAAATAGCCAGATGTTGTGGCGGGCACCTGTAGTCCCAGCTACTTGGGAGGTTGAGGCAAGAGAATTGCTTAAGCCCAAGAGTTTGAGGTTGCTGTGAGCTGTGACACCATGGCACTCTACCCAGGGTGACATAGTAAGACTGTCTTAATAAATAAATAAATATTACTTCATTCCTATTTAACAACATAGTTTCAAAATAAAATTTGTGAAATAGCAATAGTATCATAATTTGCCTAGGAAAAATGATAGCAAGAAAGCATGAGATATTTATAGAAGAAATTTAAAATTCTATATTAAAGAAGAAATCTTCATTAAAGAAAAATTATCAAATGGAAAAGGCTATCCATATTTATGGATGTAAAGGCGCAATATATATAACAAAAGTTATTTCCTCCCAATCTACAAATCTGTTGCAATTCCTAATAGCAAAATCCTAATAGGGTTTTTCTGTAGAACTTGAATAACTGATTAAAATTCATATGTAAAGTGAAAAAGAATGAGCAATCAAAATAATATTGAAGAATGAAAAACTGGGAGAACTTTTCCTACCAGATAATCCATTTAATAAGACTGTGTTACTGGTACAAGATCAAGCAGTAGGACTAAATGGATAGAACAGAGTATACAACAAATTTTTTGAATCTTGATCTATGCAGCAAATCAGCACCTCAGAACTCTCCATATTTCTGATGAGAATGTACAGCGTTACACTACTTTGGAGGGCAGTTTAACAATATTTAATAAAGGAGATGTGTAAATCTACCCTATAACCCAATAGTTCTACGCCTAGATATATATCCTAAAGAAACCCTCCCATGTGTGTACAAAGGAAGAATTGCAAGAATGGTCATTTAAACTCTGCTGGGGCAAGGCACAGTGGCTTATGCCTCTAATACTAGTACACTGAGAGCCCGAGGCTAGAAGATCTCTTGAGCTCAGGAGTTTGAGACCAGCCTGGGCAAGAAGGAGATCCTGTCTCTACAAAATAGAAAAATTAGCCAGCATGGTCATGGGCACAGTAGTCTCAACTACTTGGGAGGCTGAAGCAGGAGGATTGCTTGATCACAGAAGTATGAGGTTTCAGTGAGTTATGATCATACCACTGCATTCTATCCAGGGCCACAAAGTGAGATCATATCTCAGAAAAGAAAAGCCAAACAAAACAAAAAAAAGAAGAAGAAAGCTATTTTTAAATAGCAAATAATTGGAAAGAACTTTGCATAGCCATTAAAAGAGAGTGAATAAATTGTGGATAAGTTATAATATATACATGTACGATGGAATACTATTAGGAGTTAAAATGAAGTGGAGCTAAATTCTTCAACTTAGGTAATTTTCAAAAACATCTGCAACTTATAGAATGATATGTGTAGTATAATGCCATTTATACAAAATTTTAAAGCAGGCAAATGGATATATATATATACTATATAGTAAGTTATGAAAACATGCATGGTAATTACTATTTCTGTGATAGGTGGAAGGGGAATGGAATAGGGGAAGGTCACAAAGGGAAATTCAGCATTCTGTAATCTTTCATTTCTTTTACAAGAAATTTAAAGCAAAGACATCAAAATGTTAGAATTAATAAAGTAACTTTGGTATACTTTGAAATTAAAGGAAAGATTAGATTTCCATTATAAATCTTACATAGCAGTCACTTTTTAATCATCCAGAGGAGATAGCAGTCTATTGGCATACATGGCCTCTCTTTGTGTCTAGGTCTATATATTTCTGTTTCTCATCTAGGAGCCACCATCGCCTTCCCACAACTTCTTCAAAATGGGAATGAAGCTAGAAGCTGTGGACAGGAAGAATCCTCATTTTATTTGCCCTGCCACTATTGGGGAGGTTCGGGGCTCAGAGGTGCTTGTCACTTTTGATGGGTGGCGAGGGGCCTTTGACTACTGGTGCCGCTTCGACTCCCGGGACATCTTCCCTGTGGGCTGGTGTTCCTTGACTGGAGACAACCTGCAGCCTCCTGGCACCAAAGGTAAAGGCCCATCTACAGGCTCTTGAAACTAGGACCCAGATGATAAGGGAGATTAGCCAGGTCTATCATGGTCAGCATACCTTCACCAGTAAACTTCACCAGTAAGCAGGAGAGGAGCAAAGGCTAGCAGCTTAGATAAAAACTAAGGTCTGTCAGAGAATAATCAGAAACACTAAGAATTAAATGTTAAATGAAGCTACTCAAGGAATTTGGGATAAAGTAAAAATTCCTTGCTCTAAATATCCTGGCTTATTCTCAGGCAACTAGCTCTCCCTCTCTCTTACTTTTGTCCCTAACCCATTTAAAAGTTTGAGTAACATCATTGTCAAGGCACACATCTTCCTCCAACTATAGGGACTTTATGTATGAACTGAAGTAACATTATGTTTTGAATACTTGAAGCAGAATGGAAAAAGCATGGACTTTGTAGTAATGTAAATGTAGGTTTAAGTTCTATCTCTGCCTTTTATCAGCTGTGTGATTTTGAGCAGTTAATTCACTTCTCTAAACCTCAAATTTCCCATTTGTAGACAAAAGCCTACTTCATAAAGTTATTGTGAGGAATAAATGAGAATACATGGATAAAATGCTTATATCTGGCAAGTATCAAGTGATAAATATATATTATACTATATCATTACTATAATATTACTATTACAAAACTAACCATTACCAGTAGGAAAGTATATATAAAGTATTAGAACAGTACCATAGACTAAATGAACAATAAGTAATACTTCTGGTGATGGTGCTGATGGAGATTTTGAGATAGCTGCCTTTAGTAAAGAAAATAATCATCCCATTCTCTCATGTCTAAAAAGTATTAGTGAGTCTGAGGGAATGGAAAGTCACCATCCAATTATCAGAGGGTCTCTTTTCTCAGCCTCTATTGAATTTATTCAATTAGGCAAATATTTGTGGAACACCGAAATATAAGCCAAGCTGAGGGTTTAGAAGTAACAAAGATGAACAATGTTGGGCGGCACCTGTGGCTCATTGAGTAGGGTGCTGGCCTCATATACCAAGGGTGGCAGGTTCAAACCCAGCCCTGGCCAAACTGCAAACAAAAAATAGCCAGGCATTGTGGCTGGCACCTGTAATCCCACCTACTCAGGAGGCTGAGGCTAGAGAATTGCTTAAGCCCAGGAGTTGGAGGTTGCTGTGAGCTATGATGCTACGGCACTCTACCAAGGGCAATAAAGTTAGACTCTGTCTCTACAAAAAAAAAAAAAAAGATGAATAATGTTTCTGCTCTCATGGTACTTTTCATTCTAATTCTAGTGGGGTAAAGCAAGTAGTAAAAATTTAAGTCAAGAAATAAGGTAATTTCAGATAAGTAATTTTTATAGATAGAAATAAGACAATTTCTCTCAAAAAATAAAGTATGCTAGGTAACAATAAATGTATGGTTATATAAGTTTTGTTTAATAGCTTTATTGAAGTATATGTGACATAAAATAAATGGCACACATTTAAAGAGTGGAATTTTAAAAGTTTTGACACATATATACATCCACGAAACCATTACCACAATCAAAATAATGAACATACCTATCTTGCCCAAAAACATTTTGTGGAAGGAGAACTACTTTAGATAGAATTTATCTTCAGGAAATTTATCTGAAAAGTTGATATTTGAATTGAGACCAAATGACAAGGAGTCTTCCAAGGAAAGAGAATTTCCGGCAAACAGAAGGGACAGCTGATACATTGGTGCTAAGATAGGAAGGATCTCAGTGTGTTTCAAGGGCAGTAAGCAGACTACTCTGACTAGAATGCATTGCCTGAGCAGTACAAGATGTTGTTGGAGAAATGGCAAGGGCCAAATCATACATGGAATTTTGGATTTTGGATTTTATTCTAAACATATCATGGAATCATTAGAGGGCATTAAGCAGGGAATGACAAGAACTGATATACTTTTTAAAAATTATTTGGACTTATATACAGAATATAAATAATACTTAAGACTTAACAATAAAAAACCCAATTAAAAAATAAGCAAAGGATTTGGATAGATACTTCTCCAAAGAATATATACAAATAGCTGATAAGTAATTGAAAAAAATGCTCTACATCATTAGTTATTAGGCAAATGCAAATCAAAAGCCACAGTAAACTACTGTTTGATACCATGGATATGGCTGTAATCAAAAGATGGACAATAATAAGTGTTGGGGAAGATGTGGAGAAAGTGGAACCATTACACATTGCTGGTGAGATTGTAAAATGCTTCAGCCACTTTGGAAAATAGTTTGGAAGTCAGTTAAAATGTTAAACACAGAGTTACCATGTCACCTAGCATTTCCACTCCTAGATATATGCCCAAGAGAATAGAAAACTATATCCACACAAAAATGTATTATGAATGTTTGTGGCAGCATTATTCATAATAGCCAAAAAGTTAAAACAACCTAAATATTCATCAGTTGCTAAATGAATAAATAAAATGTATATCAATAGAATAAAATGCCATTTGGCAATAAAAAAGGAATGAAGTACTGATACATGCCACAATATAAATATATCTTAATAACATGCTAAATGAAAAAAGCCAGTTGCAAAAGACAATGCATTATATGAGTACATTTATATGAAATGTTCAGAATAAGCAAATACATGGAGAGACACACACATATGTATATATATAATATATCCGCATATATTTATTAATGGTTATCAGAGGCTAGGGAGGGGAAAATGGGAAGTGACTGCTAGTAAGTATGGGATTTGTTTTAAGGATGATGAAAATGCTTTAAAATTAGAGTTGAGTTTTCACAAGTCAGTGAATATGCCTAAAAACCCTGAATTATAAAGGTAAATGTTATGATATGTGAACTATTTGTCAATAAAGCTGTTATCTAAAATGTCACTTGACCTCTATGGAGAATAGATTGTGTGGTAGTAATTGTGGACAAAGAAGGAGAGAGAGAATTGCTTGGATTAAGATAGTGGTACTGAGGCAGAGGGGACTTGGAGGCAAAGTAAGGAAGAGACTTCTAGCTCAGGAAAGTGCCACTCCCCTTATGCTGCAAGAAATCCATTCCCATCCCTCTGCAAGCCCTAAGAGGACATACCTCTGTGGAAGCAGCAAGAAGAGAATGGGTAGTAGAGTCATTTTTGTTTATGTGCGCCTAAAACAGGATAACTTGGCACCCTCGACCTTATTCAATTATGATTTTCTCATTCTCTTTCTTAGGGAATTGTTATTTTGACTGGAAATCTTGAGCAGTTAGGCAGTTCTCCAGATCTGAAAGAGTAGAGAGACTCTGCTCAGGAATTGCTGGACATGCATTCCTTTCCGACTGCACACATGCTGATAAGAAATATGACTCACTGTATCGATGGTGCTTCCAAAGAAACTTGTTGACTGTTTCCCTCTCTTCTATGTCTCTCTGGAGACCTTAGATTTTTAACAGAGAAGTGCCAGAAGGACAAGGCTCAGAAGGTAATGAGAGACCTTTTTCCAGATGACATTTCCAGACGAGGTCCTTCAGTCATCATTCCTGTGTGGGATTGTACCTTCCCACAACTCTCTTCTCCCCACCTCATACCCTCAGTAGGTCGTGCAGCAGAGCTTTCTATAATAGCAGAGATTTAGCCATCTCAGTGTGCTGGCTAAGGAGCAAATGATACAATGTGGAAAAAATGTGGTTACTCAATTCATTTCATAAAACAAGATGTTCTGTGTGTGTAAGCCCGTTCTCTTTCTAATATGCCATCTCCTTCCTTTCTACCTTCTGTCATTAGTGTGCAAATGTTTAAAAATTCAGAGTAAGATGAAAATGATTCTTGCTCATGGTAAATAAGAAAAATGCTAATTTAATGGTTTTTATACATTTCATTTTATCTTCCTGATCACTCTGAACAAAGTATAATTATTTTGAGGTACATTTTATTGATGAGAAAACTGAAGCTTAGACAATTGAATGACTTGGCTCTTGTTATTTGAGTCTATAGGGAGAAACTATGGAGGTACTTTAGTAGGCCAACTGTCAAGAGTAATATCATTTTAAGCCATATTGCCTTCATATGTTTCCTCTATACTGTTTTTCATTCTCTTTGGGCTTTCTTCTTCAGAGCTTCATTTGAGACTCTGAATTTTGGCTTCTAAATACAAATAGGAAATCGGAAAGAAGTAGTATGTCATAGTATCAGAGCATTGAACTGGGTTATAGTCCAAAATGGGCCACAAACTTATTTTCTGTCTTTGAAAAGGTCATTCTCATGTGTGAGAGGCTGAACTAGATGATCTTTAAAGAACCCTTTATCTCTCAAATACCCTAAGTTTATGACCTGCAGAATAAATAGGTGACATAACTGACTCTGTCTCCTACTTGATTCCAGATTGGTCAGCTCACTTACCACCTGGAGCTAGGTGGAATTCTGCTGCCTTTTATTTTCTCTTTTTCTAAGCCAGTAGTATCCCTTTCAACTTCTGAACTCTTGAGGCCATGCCAAGTCTGATAGGCACCAACTACCAAGTTTCCAGTTAATTCTGAGGATTCAGTTATAAAAGGCAGGGTTGTTATTTTTTTTAAAGCTTGTTTTTTGTGATTTAAAACTGAAGCAGATACATGCTTTACTTTTTACATTTAAAAGGCAAAGTAAGGAATTCAGTTCACATATCATGATTGTGATGCCAGTGACCCCTTTATTAGTTAATAATCCTCTTAACTTCCCATTGATCTGATTTTAGGCTGGGCAAGCTGGTTTCAGATTATGACTTAGCTTCATGTGTAGTTTTGCAACAGGAAGAGAAGAAGAGACCCACGCCTCTTTATGTCTTTATTACAAATTAATGTATTGTTATTCTGAATTATACATTAGTGTCTTATGATTTCATGTAGTTTGAAACTAGGTTTGTCTCCTGTCTACATGCCTAAATTCAATTTATAGTGCTATGCCTAAAGTTAACTCCAGACTTAAGGGATGGGCTCATTAGTGCAAAATGGAGCATCCACATTTTCCTTAAAAAAGGACTATTCTGTGACCTACCT